AAAGCACCCCGTTCCCTCCCTATGTGATGCTTTCTGTGCTGTTCAGAAGATACAGAGCAAAGCCCTTTGTTAGGGAAAGACATCCTGCGAGAAAAGTGGGGGCGGGGGACAGACACACAACACAGATTCACAAGACAGCCTCCAGGCGGGCACAGATCCAGACTCATAAAACAAAGGACAAAGCTACAGGAAACATGAAGTAAAGAACTTAAATCTGGCCTCCCTCTCAGCTAAATGACTCCAAGAGGAAGTGCTTTTCTTTCTTTCCTTAATGCAATATTGATGCATTATTGGTGACTCAAAGTTATTCATTAATGCATTTAAAGATATATGTATTTATTGTATGTGTGAGTGCTCTATCTGCATGTACACCTTTATGCCAGAAGAGGGCATCAGATCCCACTATAGATGGCTGTGAGCCACCATGTGGTTGCTGGGAATCCAATTCAGGACCTCTGGAAGAACTGCCAGAGTCTTAACTGCTGAGCCATCTCTCCAGCCCCCATTAATGCATTTAATGCATGCAGTAGAGCTGTTGCTTTTCCCCTAATCGGGTCTCCAGATACACAGTGCTTAAGGTGGGGTACAGTGTGGCACACCTAGACCACTCAGTATGTTACAGTCACTCAGGTGACTGGGTCAGGAAGATCTTGAATTCAAGAGCAACTTGGTTCACATACAAAGATGGACACACACACACACACGCTTATCCACAGTTGTACTTGTTAAACGGGGACATCAAAGTCTTACCTATCAGGATGTATGCAGAGATGTTAATGCAAATGTTCACACATGTGTGTGCAGGGACAAGCAGATGACAACAGGCGACATTCACCTCACGCTCCACCTCCTGTTTTGAGAAACAGAGTCTCCCACAGAACAGGGAGCTCACTGGTTCAGCTAGGTTGCCTGACCAGCGAGCACCTGGGATCCTCATGTCTCTGCCTCCTAGGTGTGAGAATTGCAGGGATAAGCCCCCACACCTGGGGGAATCAAACAAGGGCTGTATTGCAAGTACGGTGAGCACTTTACCAAGTGAGTTATGTTCCAAATTAATAACTCAAAACTCCATCCAGCAGTGAACTGGAGAATTCCATTTACTGCTCTCAGTGACCAGGGGTCCTGCTGACTGGGGGAAGCCCTATTCATTTCCTGAGCTCTGACAAAGGCAAGTCACCAAAGGAGAGGGCAGGGAGAGAAAGGGAAACTCTTGTAAGCCCCGACCACCTCCCAAAACCATATGCCAATATTTCATCCATTGGCAGCCCCAGTCCTCTTCCCTCCCCTCTTCTGCTTGGTGTGAAAAGCTGCATCCCACAAAGAGGGAGCCCTGACTCTGGGAGAGAGTGGATTCGGAATGGCTACAGCATGTGGATTCAAAAGAACTCATAGAGGCTGTCCAGAAGCCATTTGAGGGGCTGTCCCAAACAGCACATGACTCTCCAGAGCTGAAAGATGCTAAGGGACAATGACCAACATAGGTGGCCCTGCTGTGCCGTGAGAGGACCACACCCAACCCAGAGTGGCTGCCCAAGGCGTGTGCATAGTGTGGACACAGTCAGGGTGGCATGAAAACAAAGCATATAACATCAATGTTGTTGAAGATGATGATGATGGTTATCATTATAATTATCATTATAAAAGAACAAGTCTAATTCTTACTTCTTGTCTAGAGGTTCTAACTAAGATATCACCCATTCTTACTCTTACTCTCAGATACTGACATGGTTAGTCCTTTGTTTGTTTGTTTGTTTGTTTGTTTTTTCTCTGAGTAGCCCTGACTGTCCCAGAGGTACTCTATAGACCAGGCTGACCTTAAACTCAGAGAGCCACCTTTTCACCTCCTGCCTCCCAAGTGCTGGAATTAGGGTGTTTGCTACCACCGCCTGGTTGTCTGTAGATCATCTAATGTCAATGTTATCATTATCTTTTTGCTCCAAAGGTCAAAGTTGAGACCACAATAAAATCCTGACCTCCACAACTGAATCTCTAATGGCACTGCAATCAAAATGCTAAAAATGTCTTCAGGGACTGGAGATATGGCTCAGCAGTTAAGAGTATGTGCTGATCTTCCAGAGGACCTGAATTCAGTTCCCAGCACCCGTATCAAGCGGCTTTCAACACCCTGTAACTCCCAGCTCCATGGGATCTGGTACCTTCTTCCAGCCTCCTTGGACATATGTACACATGCATGCACATACACACAAAAAGAATTAATCTGTGTTATTTTTAATGAAGACTTTTCTTTTCCGAGAAAGGGTTTCTCTGTGTAACTGCTCTGGCTCTCCTGAAACTTGCTTCATAGACCAGGCTGGTCTTGAACTCACAGAGATCCACCTGCCTTTGCCTCCCGAGTGCTGGGATTAAAGACGTGGGCCACTACCGCCCTGCTAATAAAGACATTTTAATGAGCACTAAAAGTTGGCTCTTTTTCTACCCAAATTCTTCATGTTTGAGCAGTGAGCAAGTATCCCTTTCTTCATTTAATGAAAGTAGTAATACTGAGCACCCCGTCTTTGAAATAGGTGTGAACTGATGTGCACAGCAGAGAACACAACAGGGGTTGAGGCCCAGGCTGTCTGCTCTGGTGAGTCTCTATGGTCTTAATGTGAGGTGGGCTTTACCAGTGTGCCAATTTCTGTGCTTCCTACAAAAAGCAAAATCAACAAGAACTACTTCATTTCGGAAATGGAGGAACTGGGAATTCATTTCAGAGCAGAGCCCCAGCCTCGGCTCTCCTTTCCAAAACCCCTCATCTCATCTCAGGTAGCCTCGAGCTCTCACGGGCCACCCTCCTGCCTCGCAAGTTCAAATGTTAAAAATAAAGCATTTACTAAATCTCACTTTGAGATTTGAGCTAAGATCTCGCTATACAGTCTTTCAAAGTTTAAAATGCATTTTTATTTGAGAAATTTTCGTAATTTGTAGTTCTTCTGCAAAAAGGCACCACGAAATAGGACCTTATAAAATACAAACAGAATCGGTGTATTTCAAAGGTCTTTCTGCGATTTACCCTTTTTTAGGACCTACAATTATGAAAGATGTAGGCTAGAGGTATGATTGAATGTAGAGTGCTTGCCTAGCATGAAAAAAGCCCTGAGTTTAATCCCTAGTAAGGCACATAGGTAGGTAGGTGGGTAGGTGAACAGACAGATGATAGGTAGATAGACAGACACACAGACACAGAGATCGATGATAAAGATAGATATAAAGATAAAAGTAGAGAGATGACACATTATTACCTCTGACCTGACATAGGTCAGCTCTGAACCTCACTTCTACCTGATGCCTCCCCTTCATCCAGTGACTAGGGACACCCGCACCTGGGTTCTGAGACTCCGTCACTGTTTACCAACCTGGGCAACGGGCAGGACAGCCACAGACTCTGCTGTGTGGAAAGGACCATGAGGACTGCAGCACCAGCCCCACACAGGTTCCGGGAGGACTCCATCCAAGGGCAGGAGCAAGTGCCTGGCCCATGCGGTCCCTGTAAACGCGGTGCCTGGCATGTGCACAAATTGCAGACGCTCTGCTTCGTAGACCCTAAGGCAACACTCCGGATGCAAAAGAGAAAATTGAGGATTGGAGTGGCAACTCAGAAAGCAGGCTTTTGTTCAGGGCTCTTCTGCTGTGGGCAGAGTCCTGGCTGAACCTTAGCAGTCTCCACGCCAAACATCTTTTAAAATACCCTGTTCTCAGAGCTAACCATTTCACACGGGCATCCTTTATCGCCCCTGCTAGTTTAGGTCTTACACGGTCAAAACAATGATTAAGCCCCAGTGTGTAATGGAACACACCTGTAATCCCAGCACTTGGGAGGCCAAGGCAGGAGAATACCAAGTTGGAGGCCAGCCTGGGGTTCGCAGTGAACTTAAGGCTAGCCTAGGCAACTAAGAGACTTTTGAGAGCTTGCTGTGTATCTCAGACACTGGGCCAAAGGCTCCGTGTCTTTACCCTTTAACAACCCTACCGAGTAGGTAGGGAAATTAGTTCCAAGTTACAGATTGGGAAACTGAGTCATGAGTCTAGGACGGGGCATGCAGGAGGCTTTTACCCCCACACCCCACCACCAATTCCATGTTTTTCAACTCCCATTTGCAAAAATGTCTTCACACAACCTGGTTATGGAGACTGGGAGGCAGGAGGTTAGTGTTCCTTTCACAGATGAGGAAACCAGGGCTCCAGGAGCTAAAAGAAGCACCTAAGTCCCTGGCCTACCTCCCTCAGCACTGCCCGCCCAAACTGCAGAGCTCCAGTCTCAAGCAGGGCTCTGTGCTTGGTTTTTGTTCTGTTCTGATTTTGGTTTTGAGATAGTGTCTCATTACGTAGCCCAGGCTGTCCTAGAAAATCTCGGCAACCCTCTTGTCTCAGTCTCCCAAGTGCTGGTATTAAAGGCGTGTGCTGCCACCCTCTCCTTTTCTCAGCTTTCTGACAGTGGGTTGCTGAGGTCTCTTCGTTGCTGAAAAGCGGCCACCCACTTAACTTGATGTCACCACAGGGTTTTGGTAGGTGGCCCAGACTGATAGAGGAAATGGAGTGGGTCCGTTCAGCCTGCGCTGCCCTGCGCGTCACAATCCACAATCGGAAGTGGGCGGCGAGCAGCCCCCGGGAGGTGCGAGCTGCAGTTCTCCACACTTCTCTCAACCTCGCCCTGTATCCCCGCAGGATCTGCGCCGGTCACCCAAGGCTAATGAGTCCCAAGACCGATCCACAGTCGGGCGCAGCCCACGCCTGCCGGGCCACCCCGACACGCGCGGGGCAGGAGCGACCGCGCGCCCTCGGTTGACTGTGCTCTGGGTCGTCCGGGTCACAGCGCTAGGACGTGCTAGAACGCAAACTGCAGTGGCCCCTGGAGACGGACCGCCCAAAGCCCAGCACGCCCGTTCCTTGCCTCGATTTCCCTCCCCTGCATCAGGGCGCGTAGGACCAGAGTTGTAACCCGAGCCACGCCTGAATTTCGGCAGGCCGCGTTCCCCCCCTTCGTGTCTCCCGGGCCCTACCTGCGCCGCCGTGGCTCCGGCCGGGGACAGAAGCGCCCCAGGGACCCCCGCCCTGCATCGTGCCGCCTGCTGCGCCCGTGACTGCGGCGCTAGCGGCAGCGGGAGGCGGTGGCAAACGGGCAGGGGGCCGAGCCGGTGGGGAGGCTCCTTCCTCCTTGCCAGGACCGCCGCTTCCTCTCCAGCCTCGGCCCCTTGCACGCCCGCACGCGCGCGCCGCCCCTCGCGGCTCCCAGACCGCAGGGCTCAGAAAGTTTTGCTTTTCACTTGCGCGAAACCAAGAGGGGGAAGTGCGACGGGGCAGGGTGTCCTGGGACGGAAGGACTGGGCGCTTTCCCTGACTCTGGGAGTGCGAGAAAGGATAAAGGAGAAGGCAGAGACTACTTCCTACTCCAAGTGACAGATGACGGGGGTCGGGGAAGCAGCTGTTCAAAAATGACTTGTGACTCCATTGCTGAAAATCTCTGGCAGCGCTAGGCTGGCCCGAACGCACAGGCCTTGGCCCTTGCCAAGCTCAAGGCTGCTGGCTCACCTCCTCCATCGCTTGCCTTTGGCTCATTCAGCAAAGCACCTGCTACAGGACAGTGGGTACAGGAAGTGCCAGTCAGGGGCCAGGCCCTTCATGACCTCGCCTTTGGACCCGGAGGCAAAAATAAGCCTATAAAACCGAACTCCGTAAAGTAGTCAGCCCGAAGCCAAAGGCCTGGAGCCCTAGGTGTGGGTGAAGCCTGAGGCAGGAGTGGGACGCTGTGGAAGAAGCATGGGAGAGTTCCTGCAGCGAGGGAGGGACCTGTGACAGCTAGAAGAGGGACAAGACGCTGGTGCGGGCTATGCTGCCTGTCACCAGGGGCCTTCCGAGACTGCCCAGGCCGATGGGCCTCAAGTTAATAAAGACATTAGCAGAGTCTGGATTTACTGCAGTGGGTGACAGGGTTGAAAAGGGCACTGAGTGAGTGTCCTACTCAGCTTTAACGTTAGGGTGACACTGCCTGGGGTCACGTGAGAAGAGAGCCTTAGTCGGTGACTGCCTAAATCAGAGTGGCCTACAGCACGTCTGTAAGAAATGCCTTGACAGCAAGTGAGGAAGGCCCAGCCCACTGCAGACCATGAAGGAAGATACTCATGAACTGTGCGAGAAAGCCAGCGGAACAGAAGCCCCGCGATGAGCCAGCTGGCAGACAGCATCCTCCGCGGATCCTGCTGTGCCTCCTTGGCAGTAAAGGGAGCTCTTGGTTGGAGGTTAATGCTGTGTGCAATAGCAGGCAGGCCTGCCTTCAAGTCCCTGCCTTGACTCCCCTCAGTGATGGGCTGTGTTCTGGAGTTGGAAGCTAGAATTAACCCTTTCCTCCCCTGAGAGGTATCCCACAGTAAATACGATCGGTCAGCCTGCTGTAGAGCATTCCCAGGTATATCTGACCCACACCCACGGATAGCTAGGAACTCCCAATACACGACATCAACTGTCTGAAAGCAGGGCTGGAAAGACGGCCAGCCCGGCGGTTTAGAGCATATGCTGTTCTTGCAGAGGACCAGAGTTTGGTTCCATTGGCTCTGTTACTGAGCACTCACAACCACCTGCCAACCCAGCTCCAGAGGACGGATCAGATGCCCTCTTCTGGCTATCACGCCCCCCCAAGACACTGACAGACAGACAGATGGACAGACAGACAGATATACAATTACACAAAATGAAAGTAAAACATTTTTAAAAACATAAAATATCAGAATTATATTTTAATTAAAATGCCACCTCGTTTGTGAGTACCTGTATACACACATACTCACACATGCACACACATAAAAGTGAAGGTAGTTTTGTCTCCTATAAGTGCTTAGCAGGAGGAGACTGTTGGTGTACAAAAGAGTTCCACAATAGCCTGGAATGGAGTATAACAAAGGTTTATTTATTTGGGAATAAACTCTCAGTAAGGGTGGTGATGCACAGTCCTCTGCGTGCACTGGGAACTGGAGCCAAATCCAGCAGCCAAGGGGGGCGAGCATGCTTTTTGTCTGCCTTTTAGTACATGAGACCATGCTATTATTAAAGGCTATTGGCTGAAGGAGTTCCCGCAGCACCCCCCCTTTAAGTCTAAATAAGAGAGTTCTAAGCCTAATACAAAGCTATATACAATAAAAAAACAAATATCAAGTATTGCCCAGGGAAAAGAAGAGGCAAAAACATACATAAAAATTAGAATTATACCAGGCGGTGGTGGCGCACACCTTTAATCCCAGCACTCGGGAGTGCTGTGAGTTCAAGGCCAGCCTGGTCTACAAGAGCTAGTTCCAGGACAGGAACCAAAAAAAGCTACAGAGAAACCCTGTCTCGAAAATTCAAAAAAAAAAATTAGAATTATGATCAGCATGAACAACATCAAACAAGAAAGATAGGCTAAATGTTTCAATAGCTATCCTATCCTAAGGAGTCTAAGTATTATATTTAAAATGGCTTGGCAAAGTCATGAGAGGAAAGTAACTATGACTTCAACCCCATCAAAGACCTGAGAAGGGAAATAGTATTACTTGAGTAAACAGGAATAATCAAGCAACTTCCAAAAGGTGCAAGAAATGACAGAGACAACCGGCTACCTGGACCATCACCTAAAGTCTCATTTGCAATGCTGGGGCAATCAACTCTGGCTGAGGCCTAGAGTATCTGACTGACCGTTTTCAGAGGCAGGAAAATTTGAAAAACTGTCTTACCCTGTCTCGGCAAGGTTTGGCAGTCTTTTTGTTTGTAGCCTGCTTGTCCAGTCAGACACCGTGCATTTTGTCAGTATTCGAGGCAGTTCTTTGCCCAAAGGTCAGTGGGAAATGAACGAGCAGTCTCTGTTTACGGGTGACCTCAAGCAGATGACAGCATGCTCTGAAGTTAGCAGCCAGCCTCTTTTTCCAGCTGCCCTGTTGTTACGCCCTGCATCCGTGAGCATGGTGGTCATGGCAGCAGGGATAGCTACAGCATGTGGGCTCAGCAACCTAGATCTTTATTCACGGAGGCCCACCCAGACACAAAAGCCACTGTGCCTGACCAGCCAGCGGCAAAGATCAACAGGGTCTCCGGCTCAGTACTGCCCCCTAGTGGTCAGCCAGCTTCCTGGTGGCTGCTTGCTTACATTAAACTGAACGGACAGAACTGTGTCCTTATTAAAATAGAGTCTCCTCTCTAAAGACATTTCTGCTAAATCCAATGGCCCTTGGTTCATGCCTTGTAATCTTGGAAAGAATACTTGGGAGATTTATTGCCATAAGCTCAAGGCCAGCCTGGGTGCTACACTCTTTATTTTAAAATATGTTAACTGGTTTAGAACAGGAACATCTGAAGCCTTGCAGAGAGGTTAGTCCTCCACTGCACACTGCAGAGAGACACTGTGCACACGGCTTTGCTTCCACAGAGCGACCCTCAGAGCAGAGCAGCGTGGTAACAGGCCGCACTCATTACAATCTCTCTCATGCCAGAGTTGGCAGACAGCAGGATGGCCTTCTGAGGTCTCCATTACAACCCTGGGGAAGTACAGTATCTAGAAGGGTCATCTGTATGTCCTGGGAATCATCGTCCATTGTGACAGGCTAGATTCTTGGACCTAGGAGTCAAGAGGTAGGTGAGAGGCTAGAGTGGCACTCCCTGCTCACCCTTGAGGACCTCCTGTCTGCATGTGCACATCCTGTCTCCATACTCTGTGCCCCAATGACCAGTGTTGTGATGCTGCCCCATCCCCAAGGGGTGATACTGTGTCATTTAAGGCTCTTAACTGTGGTTAATCACAACCGATATACTCCAAGTGCAGGAGTTCTGCTAAGGATCTAGGCTGTTCGCAGAGTCAGGAAGCAGGGTTAGGCTGGTGCTCCACAAAGAGCAGGACCAGCTTGGTCCCGGTGGCATCATCACTGCCGCTTTTCTGGTAACTCCTGCTTCTCGTTACTCCTGATTTCAGGGGTTTCTAACCCAGTCTCATGGAGAACATGACCCATTCGGAGTCAACTCCAGACCTCCAGGAATGAGATCCTGTTTGGCCCAGTGGAGGTCAGAGCCTACAACTCACGCCTCCAGGGTACCCAGATGGAGACACATAGAAACACAGGACAACACACGGGCGAGGGGCCTCTGTGAGCAGTCCAGCCATGGTGAGGACCAGCCACTGTGAGTCCTGCTGCTTGCAAGCAAAGAAGTCACACCTTTAACTCCCTGTGCTTTTGACTCTCGCTCTGAATGCCGAGGTGTGTTAATGTCTCCACACAAAGGGTTACTGAGCACACAGCAAGGAGATCATTGCTCTATCAACAGGTTAAATATTGTCAGAAAGTTCTTCCTCTCCTTCATGACAGTGGAGATGAGGCAACCTCAAAGAATAATGCCTGAGGCCACAGCACAGAGTCTGTATCCATCACTGGCCAAAACCGCAATTGCTCTTCGTATAGGAATTTGCATGATCCATCACATTTGCATGTGATGTGCATATTAAAATCAAGGGGTGTGCATCTGCAGTCGGAACCACGAGCTGAGAGGACAAAACGTAAAACTCTTTTCCAAGTCAATGAACTTCAAAAGACTCATTTGAGAACCCAGGACTCTCTTAGGAGCTGACTGGGTAACAAGTCCTGCCTGCCCAGTGCTGTCCTACCCAGATTAAGCTTGTTCTATTGAGTTCACCTTCACAGACAGCACGAGTATCGAGGGCAGAGCCTGCGGGAGCTCTTGTAAGAGGCCCCGCCAGGAGAGTAGGGACTGGAGAAAGCAGAATCCAGATGAACACGTGAGACTGGAAGCCCCTCCCCACCTGCACGACACAGAGCAAACAGAGCTTATGCAGAAAACGTGATGCATAAACGGTCAGAGAAAGCGCAACCGAGGAAGGGTCATGAGGGCCCAGCAGCTGCTCTGCCCTCGGTTCACTGGCCCGCCCCTATTGTAAGGGGTGCGCTGCCTTGCCCTCCCTCTGCTTCTTTCTTCTCCTTCTTCACCTTCTTAGTCTTATTTCTTTCCTGGGGGGGGGGGCACGTGTACATGCTACAACATGTATGTAGATGGAGGTCAGAGGACAACTCTCAGCGGTCAGCTATGGCTCTCTCCTTATCATATGGGATCCTTAGACTAAATTCAGGCCATCAGAGTTGAATGCAAGTGCCTTTGTCAACTGAGCTGTCTCGCAGGCCCGAACCATCTCTATTTCTCACAGTGTGTTCCTGGTGCAGTCCTTTGTCCCGAGGCATAGGCACCTGGAAACTTCAGCGGGTACCCAGTACCCCAGGATTCAGTTCAGTCGCTGTGACAGAGATTTAAACACAGCCAATCAGGCTGCGGAAGGCAGGTGTCCAGCTAGCGGGACACACTAAACTAGACAAAAATGACATTGATTTGCTTCTCTGTGGTGAGACCTATAAGATATAAATCCTGTATGTGGCCACATTTTCCTGCATGGCATCCCTCCCCCTGCTTGTGCCCCACAGTCGGTGGTGAGAGCCATGTCTGGCAAGCGCTGGGTTGACTTTCCTCCTCGGGGTCTAGTCCTGAGCTCTTTGAGAAGCCAAGCCCTGTTCATCCAG